ACAATGGGTGACTTTGCTGGTATTTACCAGTGTCATAGCTTCCAGCATCACAGCAACACTGAAGCCACCAAAGTACGACAAATTGACAGACGGGCGGTGGTTTGTCTGTAGACCCCCCACTAAAAGCAAATTCTATAAGGGCAAGGGGTCTTGTTTTTGAAATTGTGCTAGGGGCTCTTTTTTTTTTTTTTTTTTTAATGCTATATCTCCAGAACCTATAACCAGTGTCTGTTTTATAGCATTTATTCAAACATATTGTTGAATAAATTAATGAATTGGTTTTTGTTATGTTAGTCTTCGTATTTGTCTTTATGATTGAAATATTTCATCAAAAGGAATAAAATAAATACTAAAAAAAGTGAACTAAAATTTTGAATATTTTTCTTATAACATTTCATGTAAATAATGTAGTAGTATGTTTTTCCCCTCCATGCTTAGTACTGTTGATCATGGAGATAATATGCACAATTTAAAAGTACCCAAAAAAGTTTGTTTTGCATCACAAAGGTTTAGCAAATAGACTCAGCACTGAGTGACATCTCATAATTAGAAATATATAAAGGGACTTCGGGCTTAATGACATTCTAACTATTAAACTTTTTAACCAACAATCTAATTTCTGACTAGGGTGTAAGGGAAAGGTTTCAAAATCATCACTTATATTTAAAATAAGCAGCAACTTTTCTTTATCCAGGTTTGCTTTATCACAAAATTAAAGTCTCATACCTCACCAACTTTTAATACACCTTTCTGTCCTTTTTAAATCAACCTCACTCAAGAGTTAAAATGTAGTAGATTAAGAGCACAGTGTGCAAGTAATATCAGTGGGAATGGTGGAATAAGGACTTCCAAAAAACTGTTCCTCCATAAAAACAATGACAACACTGGCAAAAATGATCAAAATCAACCTTTTCAGAACTCTGGAAATTAAACAAAGGTTTGCAACAATCTGAGGGGTGCCTACTCAAGAAAAATGGTGGTAGGAATCTAACAGTGAGCTTTGTGGTGTTTTCTCTTACACTATGCCCATTTCCTTCTCCTCAGTTCTGCAGTCACCTTGAAAACCAACAGCTCCCCAATCACCATGAAAACCAGCAGCCTAGCAGCCACTAGAGGAGGTAGAGTGGGTTTGGATTCCCCTAATCCACCACTTCACAGAACTGTGATTATTCGATCTATCTGCCAGTTCCCTGGAAACCTTCACTTCCAGGGCCTGTCTTTTTTTGATCTGACTCTAAGCTCTCAGTGCAAACAGCCTTTTCCCCAGGGGTAACTGTCGAAAGCAATTAGCAGACTGTTTAACATCACAGCTACCTGAGGCTGTGAAAACAGTTGGGGTAAACAAGAAGCCGACAAAAAATACTAAAAGAAACAGCTAGGAATGAGATATCCATAGAAGGCTTTGAAAAGTTCCAGCATAATTTTGGGAATTTGGAAGGGCATACATACATATGTAGGAATATGCACATGCCCAGAGAAGACCTGTCAAGGCCCTAGGCTCTCATCTTTGGCTGACCTTGAGGATCCACGCAAGCAGGAAGTGGAGACAAAGGCAGCATTTTTCATTACCTATCTGAGTGTTGAAGGAGCACCCCAACACACAGAATCCCTTGGCAAAGGCTGGTAGACTTATTGGGTCAAGATGTTTAAGGAGATCTCCGTCCAGTCATTAGCTAACAGTTAAGCTAATGGAGCAGAGGCTTTTGTGGTCCCACATGACAAAGAATACAGACTATACAGGGTTAGTTCAGAAAAGCCACTAAACAAACAAATATCAACAACCGCCACCACCACAACACATAACAACAAAAGTCCTGTGGAGGGAGGTGGGAACTGACTTCCAGAGTTGCCACATTATATCATTTAAAATGTCCAGCTTTTTTTTTTTTTTAAAAATTATGAGATGTTACTAAATAAAGACTTTAAATCAGCTATTTTAAATATGTTTATGAACTAAAAAATGCCACACTTAAAGAACTAAAAGAAAGTATGAGAACAATGTCTTATCAAATACAGAACATCAATAATGAGTTAGAAATGTTAAAAAGAATCAAATAGAAATTCTGGAGTTTAACAGTATGATAATGGAAATGAAAAATTCACTAGAGGTGCTCAACAGCAGATGTGTGCTGGCAGAAGAAAGAAGCAGTAAATTTAAAGATAGGTCAACTGAAATTATCTACTCTGGTGAGCAGAAAGGAAAAAAGAATGAATAAAAATGAACATCTCAGAGTATATTATCAGCCATACCAACATATGCATAATGGGAGTCCCAGAAAGAGAGGAGAGAAGGGGCAGAAAGAATATTTGAAGAAATTATGGCCAAAAACTTCAAAAATTTGATGAAAAACATTAATCCACACATCCAAGAAGTTCAATTAACTCCAAGTGGAATAAACTCAAACCACATTTAGACATATCATAATCAAACTGTCAAACACAATGAGAGAGAATCTTAAAAGTAGCAAGAGAGACGAAACTTATAAATTGTACATTATCAAAATTTTAAACTTTTGCTTCAAAGGACACTATTAAGGAAGTGAAAAGACAATGCATAGAATTGGAGAAAATATTTACACATCATATACTTGATCAGGGACCTGTATCCAGAACACATAAAGAACTCTTATAGATCAACAAAAACAGGCAAATAACTCAATTAAAAAACAGGCAAATGATTTGAATACACAATTCTCCGATGAAGATATACAAATGGCCAGTAAACACATGAAAAGATGTGCAACATCATTAGGTAAATGCTAATCAAAACCACAATGAGATATCACTGAATGGCTGTAATAAAAAAGACAATAACAAGTGTTGGAGAGGACGTGGAGAAACTGAAATCTTCATACATTGCTAGTAGGAATAGAAAATGGTGCAGCCCTTTGTGAAACAGTTTGGCAGTTCCTCAAAATGTTAAACACAGAGCTACCATATGATCCAGCAATTCTACTCCTAGGCATATAGCCAAAAGAAATGAAAACATACATCCATATAAAAACTTTGACACAAACGTTCATAGCAGTATTATTCATAATAGCCAAAACAATCCAAACAACCCAAATGTCCATTAACTGATGAGTAGATAAATAAAATGTAGTATATCCATACAATGGAATATTATTCAGCTAGAAAAAGGAAGGAAATACTGATACATGCTACAACATTGATGGACCTTGAAAACATTACGCTAAGGAAAAGAAGTCAGTAACAATAGGCCACATATTGTTTGATTCCACTTATATAAAACGTCTAGTACATGAAAATCCATTAAGATATAAATCAGACTAGTGTTTGCAAGGGGTTAGAGGGAGAGGGTAATGGGGAGTGACTTCTAAGGGATATGGAGTTTCTTTTGAGGGTAATGAAAATATTCTGGAATTAGCAGTGGCAGTTATACAACATAGTAGACATATTAAAAAGCACTGAATTTTACAGTTTACAAGGGTGAAATTTATGATATGTAAATATATATCTCAATTAAAAAATAGAGCACATACTGTTATGCCATAAAGATCTGGTTTCAATTTTGGTTTTATTATTCACTATCTGTGTAACCTATTAGTCCCCTTCTGAGTTTCAGTTTCATTCACACATTATAAAATAGGGATAATCATGCTTTCCTTAGAGGTTTTGAAAGGATTAAGTAACAGTTATATTAAAAATTCTAGTATATTTTAAGGTATACACCAAGTATTCAGTAATTATTAATTCTTATTCCATTATTTTCACTCTGTTTTTCAAACTCCCAACTGTGCCTTATCTTATTAATTTCTATGCTTATTCACCTTCCCCTCTCATTATGTCATTATAATTACTTAAAAGCTTTTCATCTGCCAAACGGTATCTCTACTATGAAGATGGGAATTCATGTTTTTCTACCATGAAGAGGATACAATTAAAAAATTTCAAAGAAGAAACTTATGAAATCAGTTTTTATTTAGAATTCTTTTAATTTCAAAGTGTCAGGCAGAGTTCTCACACTAAAATCCATTATATGGTAATGGTATTTCAGCTGTAATACTTCTAGAGTTTGAGAACCTACTTTCTCCTAGAAGCCTATTAAGCTTTTGGACAACTGTCATGCAAACATTTATTTACTAGTGCAGGTTCTCATTCTTGTCCTATCTGTCAACTTGTTTTAGAAATGTTTTATAATCCTTTACATATCATATTCATATACATGTTTTCTGGAGGCAGAGAATGGAATTGTTAAAATTGCTTTGTATTTAGTCATAAGCAGAGTTATGTTTATGTCTTTAATAACTATAATTTGTTAGTGACGTGAAAATATGAAAACATGTATGTACTTAGATATTTTGAAACATGAAAATGTACAGTAAGTGCCAAGGGTGAAAATTGTGAACTACTGTAAAAATATCTAATTGCAAAATCTGTTTAACTTTCACACATATTAAATGAATTCTGAACATATTTTACTATCATTAGAATATTTCTTTTTAAAAGTTAAAATATATCTCTTTAAATTTACTAGGGTATCTCAAAAACTCTATATATTAATTGAATCCAATTTCAGAGAAACCATTAAGATATTTGTGATATTTGTGATAATATTGGAAAGTATGAAATATACAAAATATTATAACTGAAAGTTTGGTTGACTATATGTATAAAGTTATTGTGTTTAGTAAGAATGATAATGTTGCAAAACCTGAACTGCATAGTTTTGTAAAATGCTATTTCTTTTGTCAACAAACAATAAGTAAGTGCACATTTCTACTCCATTATCAAACAAACCAATAAATAAATAAAAGAGAGACTTGCTATTTGGAGAAGTATGTAAAAAAAAAAAAAAGTCCCTAATTATATAACCAAAGAGACGTAAAGGTTTTCTGAAATATTTGGATGAATACAATCATATGTTGGAAATAGCTATGTTTAAAATGATAAAATTGTTAAGTAACAATAATGACACTAGGGTATATTAAATTTAACATCCATCTTCTTTTACAGTTTGTAAACTAAATCATACATACCAGATCTGTCTTTGGAGGCTCTGGACACTCAGTGGAGAAGTAAGATGCTGAACTTCTGACTCCACTGTCAGGAGCTGGCTTTGGAGGTTGTGCATGCTGTCTATAAGTAGCACTTTTAGGAGTCCAACAAAACAGGTTGATTGATTCTCGCACACAGCGTTCAATGTCAATTTCTAGATAGGAAATTTAAAAAAAAGAGCATATGTATAGAATTAGGCTTGCTATGTTTATGGAAAAAACACAATCTTTCCCAAATGCATATATCCAAAAACTATATGGTTAAGATAATAACTAAGTAGAAAAGATACCAGTAAAAAAAGTAATGAAGATTTTAATCATCGTATTTCTGACTCGAATGACAGGGGATATTTGGTATTATTATCTGCATTATGTGTACATACATATATATATGTTTCTATGTGTCTGTCTTATTTGATATTATTATCTACTTATATGTATATATGGAGCCCTGATGGTGCAGTGCTTAAGACCTCAGCTGCTAACCAACAGGTTGGCAGTTCAAATCCACCAGCCGCTCCTTAGAAACCCTATGGGGCACCTCTACTCTGTCCTACATGGTCGCTATGAGCCAGAATCGACTCAATGGCAACAGGTTTTGTTTTGGTTTTTTTTTTGTTTACACGTGTATATATGTGTTTGTGTGTATGTGTATTTCAGTACATCATTATTTAAACATCATGGAATACAAAATGTCTCCTTTTTAAGAATCTACTTAATTTACTCAGATTATATTTTCACTTTTCTAAAATAAAACAGAGGTAAGGGGTATTAGAATCTGGAAATTAGCAGGCAAAAGATTCAGATATTGATTTACCATGACTTCTAATAAATGTACTGAATGTTTCATTTCTATTTACAAAAGAATTTATAAAATAATAAAAAATTAATAAAACTCTCAATTTAGCATTTCTCCTTTTCTTTTATAATTCCTTGAATGAAGTGTAGAAAGCTTTAAGTGAAGTTTCATATGGAAAGAGATTACATGTACTTGATAAAAATTAAAAAAAAAAAAAACAGTATCACAGAAAATTTCCTTTTGTTTCTCAGATATGAAATTTAAACATCTTTGATACAGAGGTAATAGAAAGACACCACAACTCCAATTTAATATTTGTATCTTTTAATGGGATGGTAGCTCTTTAAAAACAAACCAACCAACCCGTTGCTGTTGAGTCGATTCTGACTCATAGCAACCCTACAGGACATAGTAGAACTGCCCCATAGTTTTCAAGGAGTGATGGGTGGATCTGAACTGCTGACCTTTTGGTTAGCAGCTGAGCTGTTAACCACTGTGCCACCAGGGCTCCAGTAGCTCTTCAGGAGACCAATATTCCTATATGGGGAGTTGGCCTAGGGAAAAGGGAGAGATCACACAAGGACAGCAGAAGTTCAAAAAGTTGACTGGGATGAATGAGTTTAGCACCGACTAGCTTCTCCCTTTTTACATTCCTAACATTAGCAGTTAGCAGATATTCTCATCTCCTCTGCAAAGTCCAAGTATGTTGGCTCAGATAAGAAATGGATTAAAAAATATAATAGACGTTTTAAGTTACAAAGGAAGAAGAAGTTCTCTATTTTTCTTCTTGGAATGAGGGGCTTATGTGTAAGGGGAGAAAGTAAATAGGCACTTAAGCAGACTCTGTGGTTGAAATGGTATGAGTTATGCATTTAGAGTTAACAACTTTGGTGAGGTGGAGCACCCCTGGAGAAGAGAAGGGACAATGACACTTAGTGAATGTCTACTATGTGACAGGCATTGTATATCTTCACTTAGTCAGTGACTCCTGAAGACAGGTATTACAATTATCGTTTCTGTTGAAGACGAAGAAACTAAGACTCAAAGAAACTAAATGACGTATGGTATTGTGTGTTATCCTAGGTAGAATTCTTGCAGTTACTAAAGGGTTATAATGCATCTTTTGTTATTTCCCAATTCATTTAGTTTGGGGTATCACCAGCAGGTCTGGAAGGCCTAGTTACTCAATTAAGCATTGCTGTATCTGTTATTAGTGATATTTGCCAATTTCACAGCTGGTTACTTCTATGGATACACAAAGATCAGATTTCATCACACCATATGCTATTTCTATCATAAAATCTATAAAAACAGAGAGTTAGAGAAATTTTGAGACATGGTTCTATTTATTTGAGTAATAATTAGTATAGTGAGTAATAATTATATAGCTTTAAAAAAGCTGTATAACACTATCAATTTGATATTCTAGAAACAGAAGAACACAAACACCAAGAAAATCACCCATTAAAATTTAAGATAGGTTCTTCTACTCTGCTCAGGGAGGAAGAGATATACTCAATTCATTCTAGAAACTTCTATTCAAATAGTTAAAATAAAAATTTGGCAGCTAAAGGGAGAAAATCACCAGTCATCTATCTAAAAAAAAAAAAAGCATCTCTTAACACTGCTTAGTCCCCAAAGGAAAAGAATTTTGAACCACAGATTTTGCATCTGCAGTTTGACACATCTGTCACCCACACTTCAAGTCAAGTCAATGATCCAGGTCAGAGGTTGTAGTTCAGCCCTTAAATAACTGGCTATGGAAAAGTCATTTATATTTGCTTCCAAAACACCCTACTAATACCATAAAAGGTTTACAGTGAATCTAGAGAATTTACTGGCATCCACCCCGATTCTACCCTGTTAGTACTCGCAGATATCCTATTCTTCATTTACTTGACACATGTCACCTTTCCATCTCAAAATCCTTCCAAAGCACTTTATCGTTAAGCAAATATTATGCAAGAGTACGTCATAAACTGTACATTAAAAGACGCAATTATACTTAAAAAGTAATCTCTCAGCCTATGACACCACTCTTTTCCAACTTGTATTATAGTTATTTATATATTGCATGTACCCTGGATTCAGCTTTCCCAGGTATGAATACAAACTCCATGAGATATTGTGTGACTTGAGCAAAATAATTTCTCTAAATCTTGGATTCGTCATTCTTACCCATTACTCACGTATCTTCATAGAAATATCAAACTATTTTCAAGATGATAAAACATATTTCATACGTTTTCATCTAGGAGAGGATAGGTGGAGGAGAAATCTCTCCTGAAGCCCTCGGTTCTCTTGCTTTAATGCTTATTAACTGTATCCTAGATCTATCGAATAGCTGTTGTCCTGGGACTTCTCTTTACCATCATCAAATTCCCTTTTGCTCTCTGCTATATTTGATTCTTAACTTTTTGGGTAAAACATTATCTACTATGATTTATTTCATCCTTTGGTGGATCACATCTTCTAAGAAGGGGTTACAGGAGGCAAACTATTTTGAAACCTTCCATATCTTTTAATATCTTTATTCTTCCCTTGACTGATATTTTGAATAGGTATAGATTTCTAGGATTGAATTTTTTTTCCTTCAGAGTTATGAAAGGCAATGCTCCATTGTCTTTGGCTGAGAAGTTTCATGTAATTCTGATTGATATCATTTTCATAATGACATATCCAAGTGCATACCACTTCATTGTGCTGGGTATCTGAAGGTCCCTTTGTAACCCCTTGAAATGGCTGAAAACTTCCCAAATACGATAAAACACATGAATCTACACATCCAACAAGCTCAATGAACTCCAAGTAGGATAAACACAAAGAGATTAACGCTAAGACACAGAAAATGAGATAAAGGAAATTCCCTCAACATGCTGAAGGGCATTTATGAAAAGCCCACAGCTAAGATCATACTCAACGGTGACACACTGAAAGCTTTAACCAGTGTTACTCAATATTGTACGAGCCAGAGTTCCACCCAGAGCAATTAGACAAGAAAGAAAAACAAAAGACATACAGATTGTAAATGAAGAAGCAAAACTGTCTCTATTCACAGGTGACATGATCCTACGTATAGAAAATCCCAAAGAAGCCACAAGAAAGCTAATAGGTTAATCAATGACTTCAGCAAAGTTGCATGGTACAAGATTAGCATGCAAATATCAGTTGTGTTTCAGGAATAAACAATCTGAAAAGGAAATTAAGAAAACAATCTCATTTACAATAGCATAAAAAAGAATAAAATACCTAGGAATAAATTTAAGGAGGTGAAAGAATTACACACTGAAAACTTGAAAACGTTGCTGAAAAAAGTTAAAGAAGACCTAAATAAACGAAAGACATCCTATGTTAATTGATTGGAAGACATAACATTGTTAAGATGGCAACCCTACCCAAAGGAATCTACAGATTCAACACAATGCCTATTAAAATTCCAATAGCCTTTTTTGCAGAAATGGGAAATTCATACGAAATTGCAATGGACACCTGAAAGTCAAAACGATATTGAAAAAAAAAAAAAAATGAAGGACTCAGGTTTCTGGATTTCAAAACTTACTATAAAGCTACAATAATCAAACAGTACAGTATTGGCATAAAGCTAGACATATAAAACAATGGAATAGAATTGAGAGTCCAGAAATAAACTCATATCATGAAAGAGTATTGGATTTTGTCAAATGCCTTTTCTGCTTCAACTGGGATGATTGTGTGTGTGTGTGTGTGTGTGTGTGTGTGTATGTATGTATTTTCTCCTTTTCCCTTCATTCTATTAATGCAGTACGTTACATTAATTAATTTTCTTAAGTTGAATAATGTGTTGTGGCCAGTTGATTTTTTGACACGGAGGCCAAGACCATCTGATAGGGAAAGAATAAACCCGTTGCTGTTGAGTTGTTCTGACTCATAGCGACCCTATAGGACACAGTAGAAATGTGCCATTTCCAAGGCTATAAATTTTTATGGGAGCAGACTGCCTCATCTTTTTTCTGCAGAGCCACTGGTAGATTCGAACAGCTGACCTTTTGGTTAGCAGCTGGCTGCTTAATCACTGCACCACCAAGGTTCCTTAGACTAGACTACATCGAAGACTTATTCTTTTAACACCAGGGAAGACAGTAGCCTTGAAACAAAGTAAATACAGCCTTGGTGATAGAAATGATGCCGGAGATCGCATGATAGAATTTTGCAAGAGCAACAACTTATTCATTGAAAATACATTTTCTCAACAAATGTCTATACATATGGATCTCATTGGATGGAATACACAGGAATCAAATCAACTACATCTGTGGAAAGAGATGATGGAGAAGCTCAATATCATCAGTCAGCTCATATGTAAGTTCAAACAGAAGC